TGAACATGACATGCACGCAAGGTCTACACAGCTTACTGTATTATTCTAAAATGAGTCTGAATTTGCATTTCTCTTTGACAAAACATCATTACAATGTGGAGGGGGAGAGGTTTTGCCAGAATAGTAATTCCAGAAAGTCAAAAGGGCTTTCTTTCAAGACAGGGGTTTTCCACACAGTTTTCAAGCCTTAATTATAGTACATAAACTAATCAAAACATGCATTTTCACAACAAGGCTTCAGAAATAGAAACATATAAAATAAAAAAACCCTAGTTAAATAATTTTATCTGAATTGAGATCTGTTGTCCTTGCACTTGAACTCTACCACATTCCCTGGCACAAGTTTTAATTTCTATTGGAATAAGAAGAATATACTCTATAAACCAAAGTTATTAAACAGACAAAAACTGATGAAGACTATGAACAAGATAGGAATAATTTATTACCAAATTCTTTGGCCTATGTTTCAGAATCAACATCATATGTAAAGACTTTTTTCACAGAGGGTATATTTGGGACTGTCCAGGAAGAATTAGAAAGAAAAGGTAAATAATACGATGTTTAAAGCGACTATCCCCCACCAAAAATACCTCTTTTCCACCTAAGGAGAGTAAGAGGCTTGTATAGTATCATATACACTATATGGGTTTTGCCCATATAAGTTCTCATATAAACATTACTTTCCAAGCTGAAGTGAATCTGTCTGGAATCTCATGTACATAAAATGAAATTTTAGCAAAATGTTTACCCCTTCATACCTTAATACTAAACCTATTTAAAACACAAAAAAGAAGGAAAAAGAAAAAAAATGTTATCAAGAAAATATATTATCAAGATCAAAATTTATGACAGCATCTTCCATGTGTGCATCAGCAGACTCAAACTTTTAAACTTGAAGCAAAAAACGATTTACCTTCAGTCACTATACGGAGCTACCAACTTCAAATTCAGGAGGGGAATAAATACATGCATTCGCTTCACTTGATTTTTGGCAATGGAGTAGCATGGCTGTTTAAATCCAGAGAAGATCTGCAATGAAAAGATACAGAATGCAATTACAGGTATTATCAAAATATCAGGATTTTATGGTCACCATTGCATCTAACCCAGAAATCAGTGTATGTCAATGCCAGAAAGAGTAATTACGTGGTAGTATATTTTTAATTAACAGTGCTATCCAGTTACAAGTCTGCTTAAAGTCGCTAAATACCTTAATGTTTTTGTCTGTAAGTTTGCTTTAAAATAACCATTAGTGATATTCTTCAGTATTTACAAGAAATTAGTTCACTAAAAAGAACTGCTTGAATTTCCATTAGCTGAATGCATTTTTCAGAACAGAATGCTAACACGATGATGCCAAGAGTAATAAAGTCATAACTAAATGCAACTTATCTAAGAAAATCCCATGTAAAAAGGCACACATGCTACTGCTGTTGAATGAACAGTCCTTTTGTGCAGTTGTACCCAACAGATTCCTTCAGGAATCAGCACTGCTTTCCTTACTTGAAACAAGACGACCTTGTTTGCTGAACCATTCACCTACTTTGAAAACACTTGTTAGATCTGGGGGGTTGTTTTGTTTCTTTAAACAAACTGAAGATGTTACCATTCCCAGCTGCTTGTCATTGGCATCCTGGTCAAGGGCTTCCTCTCCCAGAACTGCTGTTTAAACTACAATGGAAATTACAACAATCAAAATGAGCCAGATCAGCAAAGGTGGGTCTTTCAGGCTACCCTACTTCATTTTAACTGCTGTCAGTTAAGTAGTAGTGCCAAAGGAGAAGGAGCCCTTGGCAAGGAAGACAGCAACGAGCAGTTGGGCTCCGGACAGTCAGGCAAGTGCACAATCAAACTCCAAACTGCAAACAAACATTGTTTTGATCATGTTAATGCCCTAGCAAGCTTTCTGAGAAGATGATCAGGCACTATAAAGGGTGATAATCCATTACTAAAAATAGGCTTGCTGAAGCCTGAAAACCATTAGAACATGCAAATTATTTTATACAACTCATGCTCCTAACAGCAAATCAAAAACATTTTATCCCAAATTTGAAAATTTTATTACAAATGAAAAATATTATGCAACTATTACATGTACTTTACATGCATGGAACAGACAGAACTTTATTAGCCTGCTATTTGAGCTTTTATCTTCCTCCCTCCTGTCCACTCCCTCTTTACTCCTGTGCAAAATGCACGCACATCACCTTGTCAAAGCACAAGTGCAACAAAAAGGAAAAAAGCAATGTGTTCAAGCACTACCACTGGAAAATCAGCGACTGAAATGTCCCTTTTGCTTAGCTATGAACAGTCAGTAGTTGTACTTCGCCAAAATAAATTTATGAATACTTGCTTTAGATCAAAGTAATGCACATTAACATGAATAACTAGAAATTACAGAAACAATTCTGCCACAAAACAGGATCACAGCACTACAATCTCTATTCTTCTAATTCCTCTGCAACAATTAAGAAATTAAGAAACAAATGCTGTTTTTTCCATCCAACATTTCAACAAACAATGCTGAGGGAACAGAACTACCCTTACACAAGCAGGACAAATTTATATTGGGTTACTCTTTAAAGAAAAAAAAAAAATAATAATAATAATAATAATAATAATA